GCTGAGGAAAGAGTACTATCGCACAAGCCACTGCACCAAACTGTTTGGAGCATTGTTGGGAATCATCGAAATTGATGGCCAAACTATCGCGTGCAAAGCCGACAGTTATTGGTTACTCACAGACCAATCAGGGCGCACAACATGAAAGGTATAATACATTCAACCAACAAGTCTGTTCAAAAGCTACGAAAAGAGACAAGATATTAGTTCATTTGCAAAAACAAATACGAACCGAAAGATCCGGACTCCGCCTCCTTCCACGGTGTTCGTAGGGCTTCTAGGACAACTTGCGTGGACTTTTGGAATCTAAAAAGTACGAAAGGGACAACAACAAAAACTGTATTTATAAACGCATATAATAAGTGGGTAAAAAACTTTTTTGCAATCTGATGATCATCTTTGAAGAACTCAACAGGCAGCGTAATGCAAGGCGAGGACAAAAGACGTCCACGCAAGTAATTTTGTTTCGAGCGAAAATGGCCTAAATTTCCCCAGGACTACGATGACGCTTCCGGAAGCTCCATAACCGTGCGCTCGAAGAAGGAATGCCACGAAATAGCGCAACCTAAAAGTACAGGCATCCTCCGACGGCCAACTGTCCTTAAAACGAAGCCATTCGGTACCGAGAATCAAAAGCGGTGGCTAGACAGCATTATGTAGCAGGCGCTCGGCACGGCAACCACTCAGACTTAGTCACGACGGCGCTTAAACCTGGGGCTACCCTCCCCGCGTCGGCCAGCCTGGTTTGTAACCCACGGGCCCTAGCGCTTACACACACCCCAGACGCCGACCTTGTACCAGCCAATCAGGTGGCCAACACGCAGACACAGGCATTCCGCCCCAGCTGCTAGCGCGGCTTGCACAAACGTGTAAACAAACCCAAAACGCTGTTCACACACGCTGTTCCCGCGAATAGACGCTTTGTTCTCTGCCACATACACACACAAGCAAACATCTGCCATCTCACGGCAACCCTGCCTCCTCGTGTATCGAATAAATCAGTCCTCACTTCTCCTACTTAGAGGGAGTGAACTTAGCGCCGCAAATGCACATCTGA